ATGGCCGAAAGCTTATATCACCAGTCATATCTGCTGCTGTTGATTGTAATGGTGCTTGTATTACCAATGCGCTGACAGAGCCAGTGGTCATATCATTCACTTTATTAAGACATACTCAACCGGTAAGCTTATGATAAATAAAAAATAATGTAAGTTATGTGTTTTTTGTCCAGATATTGTCTTCAGCTATTTCCTGTGTTTTTTGGAACATTTCACGGTGAGTGTTTTGTAATTTCATGCTTACCAAAGAGATGATTGATTGCATTTTATAGCTCAAATGATTCATTGCCTAGTGGCTTCTGGGACACTGAAGGATGTAATGTAGCATCAGTGGATCAACAGAGTGTAACTTGTCACTGTAATCATTTTGCACATTTTGCCATTTTACCAGTAAGCAATAAATGATGTGTAATGATGTGCTAAAGAATGATTAACCACTCATGTACATGTATGCATACACTCATATGGCACATATTTTTGGAGGAGTGTGCATGTACATTTTATGCATATTAATGAACACAGTCTATGTACATGTACAGTATATTATTATGAAAAGTGTATTAAGGTAAATTTACAATATTAAACAATAGGCTTGATGTTGCAAAAAGCATGCATCAAAAGGTCAAATCACTGACACTTTTGATTAAAAATTGACAGTACACATTGTATTGTAAACCTGCTCTTAGTATTGTGACTATGTCATACATTATAGGCTGAATGAGTTCACTCTCAGATATTGACTAAAAATACAGATTGATATGCATTATATGCCTGTGATAATTCCCGTAGTGTCCTATCTCTTTTCTTTTAACTCTAATATCAAGAGTATATAATATTAGTTATGTACTCTTGCTAATATCTATGACTATTATGAATGATGTATGTATTTAGGTCAATCAATCACCAATTGATGCCCTCCAGAACCTTTTTGAAGAACTGGATCAGTTTACACCAGAACAAAGTATTACATTGCTTGGCAATATAATCAATGAAGTAATAAATATCACTGTGGATGTTACTCAGGTATTATAGAGATATACTTATACTTTGTATTTATGTTAAATGCTAGTGATATTCAAATATGAGTGTACAGCTTTAGGATAATATAAAAATCTTCTAAACACAGTAATTCTATTTTATAGTAAACCTCTTTTAATTGGGCATTTCCTTATAGTACAAACTATGAATTTGTGCTTCAGTGTGATTATAGATAGCCTTATATGGTGTTGATGATATATGGTATAAACATAATGTCACTAGTGCTAATTCATATTCATCTATAGATGGTATTAAAAACTGCTGAACTCATAGTGAACAAACTGCCTGTAAATGAGGTATGGTTTTATTAGTTGTAGTATTTATTTTATCATTCACTGACAGACAGGGACAGTCACTCAACTCCTTGTATCATTGGAGGCCTTTGCTCTTAAAGTAGCTCAAAGCACTCCTTTTGATTATGGAAATACTTGTGAGTGATTTAATGTATTATACATTCTCTATAATATGCAATCTATAGTTTCTAATGTGACACAGATTGAATCTTTTTCTGGTGAAAGGCTAACAGTATTGGACTACAATGGCAACAGTTTAAGCTTACCAGCTAAAATATTTAATAACTCTCTACCAGCAACAGTAGCATCTTTTGTGTACAGAGGCAATAACTTATTATCAATCCTTTCACCTACTGAGCCTGATAGCCGAAAGCTTATATCACCAGTCATATCTGCTACTGTTGAATGTAATGGTACATGTATTACCAGTGAACTGACAGAGCCAGTGGTCATATCATTCGCTTTATTAAGACATACTCTACCAGTAAGCTTATAATGAATAAAAATAATTATGAGTTATGTCCTTTTTTGTTCAGATATTGTCTTCAACTATTTCCTGTGTTTTTTGGAACATTACACGGTGGGTGTTTTGTAATTTCATGCTTACCAAAGAGATGATTGATTGCATTTTATAGCTCAAATGATTTGTTGCCTAGTGGCTTCTGGGACACTGAAGGATGTAATGTAGCATCAGTGAATCAACAGAGTGTAACTTGTCACTGTGATCATTTAACACATTTTGCCATTTTACCAGTAAGCAATAAATGATGTGTAATGATGTGCTTAAGAATGATTAACCACTCATGTACATGCATACATACACTCATATGGCACATATTTTTGGAAGATTGTTCATGTACATTTATAAAGAGTAGATAAGGATCTACTCTTGATTTTATGCCCATTCTAAGAAACATAATCTATGTACATGTACAGTATATTATTATTATTATTATTATTATTGTGTTAAGGCAGATATTTTATTACACTAGGCTTGATGTTACATTAGCAGAAAGCATGCATCAACAAGTCAAATCTCCCACGCTTTTGATTATAAATTGACATTACACTGGCCTAGCATGGTATTGTAAACCTGCTTTTAGTATTGTGACTATGTTATGCATTATAAACTGAATCAATTCACTCTCAGATATTGACTAAAAATAAATATTGATATTCATATTATGCCTGTGATGATTTCTGTAGTGTCCTATCCCTTTTATTTTAACTCTAATATTTATAACTATTATGATTGATACATTTATTTAGGTCAATCAATCACCGATTGGTGCCCTCCAGAGCCTTTTTGAAGAACTGGATCAGTTTACACCAGTGCAAAGTATTGAATTGCTTGACATTATAATCAATAGAGTAATAAATATCACTGTGGATGTTACTGAGGTATTGTAGAAATGTACTTATACTTTGTATTAATGTAAAATGCTAGTGATATTCAAATAATTATGAGTACACAGCAATAATTATAACTTTGACACTATAAAAAGCATTTGTAAACATAGTAAATTCTAGTAAACCCTTTTTTAATCTGGTCTTTTCTTTAGTACATACTATGAATTCATGCTTCAGTCAGTTCAGTGTAATTATAGATAGCCTTATATGGTGTTGATGATATATAAACAATGTCATTAGTATTAATTCATATATTACTCTATAGATGGTGTTAAGAACTGCTGAACTCATAATAAACGAACTGCCTACAAATGAGGTATGGTTTCATTAGTTGTAGTGTTTATTTTATCATATACTGACAGCTAGTAACAGTCAAGCTCTCTGTTGTCACTCAATTCCTTGTATCATTGGATACCTTTGCTCTTAATTTAGCTCAAAGCACAAATTTAACCCAAAGCACAAATTTAGCTCAAAGCACTTCTTTGGATTTTGGAAATATTTGTGAGAAAATTTAATGTATGTATATTACATTCTCTATAATATGCAATATATAGTTTTTAATGTGACTTGGATTGAATCTTTTTCTGGTGAAAGGCTAACAGTATTGAACTACAATGGCAACAGTTTAAGCTTACCAGCTATGATATTCATTGATTCTCTACCAGCAACAGTAGCATCTTTTGTTTACAGTGGCAGTAACTTATTATTAATCCTTTCACCTACTGAGCCTGATAACCGAGAGCTTATATCACCAGTCATATCTGCTACTGTTGAATGTAATGGTACATGTATTACCGATGAGCTGACAGAGCCAGTAATCATATCATTCAATCTATCAGGATATACTGAACAGGTAAGCTTATAGTAAATAAAAATGTGAGTTATGTGCTTATTTGTCCAGACACTGTCTCCAATGTCCAGCCCAAATATTTCCTGTGTTTTTTGGAACATTGCACTGTGAGTGTTTGTAATTTCCTGCTTACCAAAGAGATGATTAATTGCATTTTATAGTTCAAATGATTCATTACCTAGTGGCTTCTGGGATGATGAAGGATGTAATGCATCATTAGTGGATGAACAGAGTGTAACTTGTCAGTGTAATCATTTGACACATTTTGCCATTTTACTTAGTCCTGCATCACCACCAGTAAGCAGTCATGAAAAGTATATTAAGGATGGTTTACAATATTAAGGCTGTTTTACAATATTATGCTAGTCCTGACATTACATTGATGCTGAAATAGAATCTAGTTCTATTCTAGCAAAAGCATGTGCCTAAAGGTCAAATCTCTCATGCTTTGATTAAAAATTGATAGAACGCTGGCCTAACGTAATATTTTAAACCAGCCTTTATGCTAGGCTTGATGTTGCATTAGCAAAAAGCATGCATCATAAAGTCAAATCCCCCACACTTTTGACTAAAAATTGACAGTACACTGGCCTAGCATCATATTGTAAAGTGACCCACTTTTAGTATTGTGACTATGTTATACATTATATTAGGCAGAATCATTTCACCCAAAAATATGGACTCTTGCTGGTCAGATATTAGCTCCTTTTTCATTAGTGTGTCTCCTTATGGTCATATTGACCTATTCTTGTTTACGGTAAGTGTCCATGCAGTTTAATGAGTTTATCTATCATCAATACATTTATATCATAACACAGGTCCTTGCGGAATATGAGAAACTATATACACATTATGCTCTGCTCCAATCTGTTTATTTCTAAACTGATATTTTTAATTGGTATTCAACAAACCGCCAATCCAGTTAGTTTCATTATTGTCACAATGTAAT